ATAACAACAATAATAATAATAATTAAAATAATAATAATAATAATAATAATAATAATAATAATATAAAGAATAACTCAAGAACAATGAGAAGTTCTTTCATATATTATAGAGAAAGAATCATGAACTTTGGGGTGTTCATACATTGACAAAACTAAACCACGAATAACAAATTTTAATAATATTGTGAGCAGGGTGAGAGGTGTGTTCTCATAAAGATCAAATCAGCAAGTAGATAACACATATATAATGAACTTGAAGGTTGAGAAATTTCATTCAAAATCTTCGATTCTCCAAAGTTTCGAAACAATTCCACACGTATTGGAAGTTTATTCATTCTAGTGGCCGTGTGGTTAATTGACTATACGAAACAGTCTCGTGATCATGTCAAGCATGTCGTCACAAGATATTAAAAGGGTTCTTTCTGCATGCATTATAGGTAATTTTGAGATAGAATTGTATAGGTTTAACGTCCGTATCAACACACGCTTGAGATATTGGATAACAAAGAGTGTAATTTTCATCCAAAAGTAGATAGGACCTTTTCATGTGTATTTTTCTCATAGCAGAACCGTCATTTCAGAAATAAACGCCGATCACCATGTAGAGCGTTGCATAATAGATCCTGCAACAAATTGGGACGCCATAACGCATATAGAATCCTTTTAATGTCATACAACAAATTAATGTTATCGGATCGGCGAAATAGTTAGAAGGTCATGCAAGTGTGGTCTTGAGCAAGACAAAGTAACCATAGCTTTAAAAAAAAACAGTGCAGTTTGCCGAAACGACTAGCAATGGCATGTGTGTAAGACTGCATTAAAGATGCGGTACAGTGTTACGATGAGGAATTATGCACTGATTTTTTTAAATGTTGTGAGCGGAATGCTAGCCTACACTAGCTCAAAATTCTGACTTTCTGTAGTTTTTGTCCCAGCTGCCCAGGTTATTGGAAAATCTTTCCTCCGAGCCAGTTCGCTACCTTAGAATTACAAATCTGCCCTGTACCCGGGTTTTGAGGAAATTTGAAGTCATTTTTTTCTTTAGTCTCACAGCGTTTCAAGATATTTCGACTGCAATTCTCTGAATATCTTGATAACGACTCCGAATAATCTTATGACTTTATTAGAGCGTAATAGAACACTTGGATTCTAATTGCATAGTCTTAGTAATTCAAAATTACCAAAAAATGTCAGATAGATCTACTTTATAATTCTAAGATAGCGAGTTCTCACAGTCAGTTATGTTCTCACGTTTTGAAGTTTCATTGACATGTTGATTGTATTATCTGCAGTGCCGTTTTAGGACACAAAATAAGATTCATGCGTAATTAGGCCATGTAGCGTTTTTATACCCTTTCTTGGCGTATCTTTGTATCTTGGTGTCATGGCTGTGCGATTAAAATTAAGGAAGTTTTGGGCTTTTGAAAATATACGTAGTGACCTAATTAAATATTGATATTGTTATGACAAAAGAAATTTTAATCATTTACTTCATACCTATTTACAGTATACCTCAGCAAATCAGACGTACGTTACGTGGTCCAATGAATATTGGATTAAATTATCAGGTCAACCAAACTTTAGTTAAGATGAAACACACACACACAAAGTTAGCTTTTTGTTATTTGTGGTATAGAGATCTATAAGCTTTTCTGTCATATGACGGCAGTGCAGCCTTTACCAGTAGAATCCAGTGCTGTCAATATGATGTGCATCAAAACCGAAAAAAGGTTAGTATCAGAAAGCTCAAAGCTCGCAATGTATGATTGTATCAATGACATTTAAAATTACACGTCCCTGTCGGAATCTTAAAGCAGAATTGTACCCGCCTTACTCCCATGGCTGTAGTACTAAACTTCATAACTACATAAAATGGCTTCAGTCAGTATCAATCGAGTTCGCATCAATTTGAAGCTAGCACCCCTTCAGAAACAGCAAAGTTTCGGTGGGTTTCCGCATCCCAATGCAGTCATGGAGTTTCGGGATATAATGCAATGTCTTCTTTGCATGGAGATCAGAGTCATATTTTAAGAGCGCAGTAGGCGAAAAATTACACCACAGACTCAGGTGATGTCCGTATTTGTCGTTAAGTCAACGAACACATTCCAAAGAATATCATAGTGTCACTTAGTCTCACATTGTTAACGTAGTCTGGTTTCTGTTTTTGGAAACATCGAAAGAAGCTCTCATAGAGTCCGAATCATAGACATACATTCCTTGGCCGCCCATTGTCATGGCTGACATTCTTCACTCTATAATAATATACAAACTTCGCTGCAATGCATGCCCACCACCATCATCGCTAATGGGCCCCCCAAAAAGGGCAAAACTCTAGCCTCGCTATAGACGAGTGCTCGTGGCGCATTTTCCTTCTTGCCATTCACGCGCTCTCCATAGTGAATCGGCAATACTTCAGAATGCGTGGTATTGTATAGTATTAGACACAAGTCTATGAACCCGATAAACATTCAAAAATCTTTGAAGCACTTCCTCATTGACGGAAACAACACATATCCTTTTCAGTCCTTTGTTGCGGTGGATTTATTCAAGGAACTGAAAGCACCCTGTACACATAGTCTTGTATACAAGTAACTTGTAGGCATTTGACCAATTCTCCTCTGCCTCTTTGCAATAACAGTCTCTAAACTCCACATGTTGTTTTCCGTATTCTTTGGCAATGTTATATTACACCAATCAGTCAAAACCGAAAAAGGTTGAATAAAGCATTGTGATAACAGAACTAAAAAGGTTTGTCATGGGAGCTAGACCTTATTTGTTTCAAACTTGCAAAATCCCAAACTGTACAAGGGGGCCATGAGAAAGACCCACCCCTTTCTGTGTCATGACGTGAAAGCCTAAAGTGAGATTTTTTTTTAACTTGCTCTAATTCCCTGGCACAAGATCACTCAAGAGATACTGAAACTCTCTCTCCCTCCCTTCCTCTCTCTTTCTCTCTTTCTCTCTCTCGTTCTCTCTCTCTCTCT